TTTAGTTTACTCATAAGAATTGATACTTACTGGAAAAAAATATATATATAATAATAAAATAAAATCTCTTTCACCGTAGGTAAGGGTGAAGTAAGAAGTTGATGGTCGGTGGTTGCCGGTGAACCCCAAGCAATGATAGTCGTCAGTCACCGATGACTATATATATTAGAAAGAGAAAAAGAAGAAACAAGGCATAGTCACCGGTTACCAAAAATTAAGAAGAGAAAGAGGTAGAGAAAAACGAACACAGAACAGAATGAAGAAGAAAAATACATAATGGACTTTTGAAAGTATTCAAAAGATTGTGAAACTAAATAGACTTATCGTCTTTTAAATAGGGCTTCCAAGTAATTTGCCCATATATAAATTTGGAACGAGTAATGTTAAGAATATCAAAATTTTTACTAAATGTCTCAAATAGAGTGAGTCCCACATAAATGTCTCACATTAAATGAGTATCACGTAAGTATGAGATCCACCTCACATAAAAGATTTGATAAAAATTTTAAAACCTCAACATTTTTCTTTTGGAATTATTGGGCCGTTGATTTTAAACCCACAGAGGGCATTTACATTAGTAAAAGGTCCCAGCTTAATTTGGATTAGTAGAGTTTTCATTTGTCGGCCACTAAAGTTTAGTTTACTCATAAGAATTGATACTTACTGGAAAAAAATATATATATAATAATAAAATAAAATAAAATTCATACTCAGTTGGCATCCAACTACAAAAGTCATATTTTTTTTGAATTTTTTTGAATTTTGTATAAAAAGTATATAAAAAAAATCACTAAAAGACAAAATTCAAAAATCAAAAAATTCAACTATTTTATACTTTTTTTTTAAAATTTATTTATTGGAATTGTTTCAATTTTTACTTTTTGAATCGTCTAGTTGAGTAGATTTTAAAAATCTAAAACTTTTAAAGTTATAATTTTTTAAAATTTTATTAAAAACAAAAGACACTGAAAAGGCCAATTCTAAACAAATTAGAGTGAGTGTTAATAAAAAAAATGAACCTCCTTTTAGATTAAAAAACTACTTTTACCCATCAAGGACAGTAGTGTCATTTTGGGGCAAGACTATGGCCCTCCCATATTAATCAAAGCAACTCATGAAAAGTCCACTTGGGCTTGGGATAAATCTGGGTTACATGTTATCATGATGTCCCCATCATGACACAAACCTTGTTCCAACCTCATGCAAAAGAGAGTATCAGTGACTCAAAAATTGTATACGTAGCATGCCTCACTATCTTGTATTTCACTATATATATCACCTCCCATAAAAAAATTTATATTCAAAAAATAGTGTTGTCAACCCATATTATCAATATGTGATGACATGACATGTTATAAATCTATTGGGTGGTGCACAATCAAGGAGTTTTGTGATTCATTCATAGCTTATAGGTTTCTCATCAAACATGTGGGTCACAATATTGTTTATTACTATACCTTAATAAATAGTAATGTATGCATGATCAAATGTTTTATAAGCTCATCCCAAGGCTTATAACCAAGTGGTTTTACCATCTCACAATATTGTTTTTTATTGATTCGGTAATATCTAATTGGCAATATTAATTATCATTTCAATTACTGAGATCTTGAATCAATTCTCTTAAATTTTGATGACATTATATTTATCATGATTGTTTCATTTAATATATCTTATAACTACGTGTTGTCAAATTTTTTACATTGGTAAATATTCTGTTAAATTTTCATAATATTATCAATTGACAATAACTATGTTAGGCACATAGAAAATGCATAGAGGGAAAAAAAAAATCGCATAAGATATGTGAATCTAGCTATCCAATGAGAGTTTTGGTCTGTGGATAATATTATTATTATTAATTGAATTTCGAACACTAATTTCTTCTTCTAAAGTTGAAATTTTCACCTAAAAAGAAAAGTTGACTGAGTTGGAATTTGTAATTAATTACTGAGTTAAGGGATAGAATGAATTGAAATTTTGTTAGCCATGGACATTTAGTTGATATGAAATCAAGTTGGTGTTGAAATTAAAAAATCAATCCCAAACCCTGTGTTGAAATTAAAGGTGATATTTTATAAAATAGTGATACTTACCATTTCAGACTGGAGGGACCATCAAATATTTTTACCTAATGCAGTCGTCAAATTTGATGTGCAAAGGTTGTAGATATTTCCTTCTATTACAGCTTATATACATACAAAGGATTGATTTCACACACACGCACACACTCTATCTCTGACAAATTATTGGTATGTTTGGAAAGTTTACTCTTCAAAAGTAAAAATAAAAACTGCCTTAGCTGGAAGATAAATACCAGCAAAGAACAGTACAAGAGTGTACAAATACAAGAGTTTTTTCACCTTGCAGGTTAAGTAATCATTTCGCTTTCATGTGAAATTTACTAATATCATAAAAATTTCTCCCTTAATTTTAAATATATATTTTTAAAATAAATCATCCAATGTTTTGAAGATAAATGTAATAAAATGAAAGCATATCATTATTTAATCAACTTAATTTTTTTTATTAATGATCTTTACATAAGATTATACAAAATAAATTAATATAATTATCAAAACGTAACTCACAATAGCCAGGAGGCCAACCCAATCCAAAACTTATTCTAGCCTCATCACACTCCACAACCCTTACTCCGGAATAAAATAAAATAAAATAAAAATAATTCCAAAAAATGGTGTTTTAAGATATTCTATTAGCTTGTTTTGGAAATTCATCCACATTTATCATAATCAAAAAAATTAACCCAGCTAGGATATAAATAAGCTCTGGAAGAACATTTATTTCAGTGAAACAAACCAACATCAACTGTGTGAGACGTCTGTTTGGTTAACGAAAGGGTAGTAAAAAAAATAAAATAAAAATAAAGGATCAGAACACAAAAAAGAAAGGTGTGGGGGACTAACAGAGATGTCATCGTCCCTAGCCTGCACCAGCATTTGATGCATTTTGGCAACACTAAGGAGAGGAGATAGAGACAATGCTCCCATACAACTCTCTCTCTCTCTACAGTCCTACACGCTCTACATAACTTGTCTCCTAATCTCTCTGCACAGTACCCAAAAATTCCTCTTCATATTATACTCCAATCCAAACACCATCTTAGCTTAAGGTTATGCAAAATACCGTCAAATCCATTAAAACAGTACCGATTCATATTAATCTCGGTTTAAATTTTAAAATTTATAATCTGCCAACCGAACCGTTCCGCTTCGTTATAGTTAATACATATATATTTTTTAACTTCTAATGAAATATCAATATAAAAATGAGTGTGAGAGAGATTTAAGATATGAAATTTATTACAAATTAGTGGTTATATATCACCACAAGGATTTACACATTTGGCGACCACTTTTGCCGACCAAAAAAATTTTGGTCGCAAAAAAATGACATTTGGCGACCAAATATTAATTAGTCGCGAATGATCATTATTTTTGGCGACCAAATATTATTGGTCGCAAAAGAATATATTTTGGCGACCGTGTTAATTCTTGTAGTGTATATAGAACATATTATGTAAAATTACTTTGTGTTATATATCTAAAAAATATTATATAAATTAGTATTATATATTATGCAAGTGTATGATTATTAGTTAGAATATTCTTTAATCCACCAATCTGTCAAAAATTGTCCAAACCGTAATTTGTCAATCCGCTAATCCGTTAACCCGTCATTCGATTTGTAATTTTTCTCTCAAACTACCCAAATCGTATCGCGCGCACCCTAAATCTTAGCTGCTATTCTTCAGAAATCATACGATGCTATATAGGTATACATATAACTACAATACTATGCTGATCAAAAAAAATAACTACAATACTCAATTAATCTACACCGTTGATTTTTATGATCCTCACTCAGTCTATGCACATTTTCAACATCACCACCACAAGTCATCCTCCAACTACTTATCAACCTAGGAAGAAGACAACTTTTATTGGTAGGTATTCAAGGTATTTTTGGAAGGGTTGGGTAGTCCACATATTTTAGACCAATCCCATGGTCCTCAAAAAATGGCAATGCCAAATATATATTCATGATTCTTGATCAATGATTGGAGAGGCTAATGGAAAACATGTGATGTGTAGGGTATGGTATATCAACTCGATGTAGAATTTTATGTTTCTAAATTTTTGCTCTCACTCTGGCTCAATGCATTTTTATTATTAGATCATGTCAAAAGATTATTGTGTAACGAAATTTTCACGTGATCTTATAACAAAAGAGCATATTATTAGCACTGGATAACAAAAAATTCTTGGCCATCAATCCCAACTCTTATGTTGTTTAGTTGGAGGATTTGAGGAGAAATTTGGAAAGAAAAATAGAAAAGATAGATGAAATGTAAATAAAACATACTTATATTTTACATAATTTCACATATATTTTTCTTTTCCCTTTCTTAATCATTTTCTAAATTCTCTAACCAAACACACCGTTAGTGGATATATTTAGCATGGGTCTCCGTTTTAATGCACTTTTAGTCACACAACCTGAGAGAGGAAGCTGTAAAAAGATTTAAAGAGACTTTATTTTGTTTATATATTTATATTGAATATATCTGAGGAGGGTATGTATGAGAGGTGTAATATTTGCAGATAGAATTCTGTCATATACTAAGTAAGGTCTGAATAGTAGCATTCTACACCTCCTTTAAGTTTGTCTTTTATAGCTTTGGTATGTGAATATGCTTGGGTGAAATGAAGTCACGTGAAGCCTTTTGGCGCCTCTCCCTCCCTTTGCCTTACTCTTTTTATTTTTTTTTTATAAAAAAAAAAAAAACTCAGTATCCAGATTAATGGACTGCTTAATTGAAAGATCAATTTTATTATTCATTAATAAGAGTTTAATTAAAATTGTGACAAAATTCCATATGAACTACTCATGAGAAATTATTTAAACTCGAGATTTTCAATCTAACACCACAAAAGTACACCTCAAGCCCAAGCTGCTCCGGTTCTCACATCTCAGTTTTTCTTTATAAAACCCTTTATACCCTCTATTTATTACTCCCCCTTTTAGCCCTTGTTATTCATCCCCACACTGTCCTTCTTTCCTGGACAAAGCTACAGTATAACACACTTTCTCTCCATGAGTACTCCTGCCCATCTGAATTTGTCACCTTCACCTTTTCCTTTGATAGAGCTAAAAGAAGATCATCAACAACTTCAATACTTGAGTACTCCACCACATCAAGCTTCTTCATCTTCTATCTCATCCCCTATTTTCATCAACATAACTGATCAAGATCACCCTAGAGAGCCCCAAAAGAATCAACGCGAGGCAAGAAACTCCTACCTAGCTAGCTAGCTTAATTTGATTAAATAATAGTAATCTTCTTGCTTTTCTTCTGTCCTTTCAATCCTTTTTTCTTTTTTTTTTTATCCTCATCTGATAGCTTGATCTGTTACCTGATCTTAGAATACATAGCATGCCACATGAAGTTCCCGTCAAATTATGTTGTGATGCGATGTGGGTATTGACTGATATATGATTATATCATCAATTTCTATACTTATCTCAATACTGATATGTATCATGATCTTGTATCTTTGGGTAGTGTACTAGTGTGACATCCATAATTTTGCATGATCGCTATTATGTTTTAACTTTATATTCTCTAATCCGATCAATCTCTCAATCTCTTGCTTGCTCTCATCAGGCTGACAAGTACATTTTGTACGGTGGGTCAAGCGATCATCAAGCAATACCATCGTCTTCTTCAGCTCAACCAACAATTGTCAATAATAGTAACAACAACGTCATTAGAACATGTTCCGACTGTAACACAACCAAAACCCCTCTTTGGAGGAGTGGTCCTCAAGGTCCCAAAGTAAGTTTCCTCCATATGACCATATTGCTCTAGAAAGTACTTCTAACTTTTTGTTTTTGTTCTTTTGCTTTCATTTTGAGAAGAAAAAGGGTTAACTTTTATGGTACAATTTTTTTTTTGAGTAGTCGCTATGCAACGCATGTGGAATTCGACAGAGGAAAGCAAGACGGGCCATGCTAGCAGCTGCAAATGGGATGGCCCTTGCTAGGGCTACAGCCGATTCAACAAGGATCAAAGTGCAAAACAAGGAAAAGAAATCGCGATGCACGAGCTACACGGGACAGTATAAGAAAAAAGCATTCAAGCACCATGGAAGTCCACAAGGCAAAGAGAAGATTTCTTTTGAGGATTTTGCGATGAGTTTGAGTAAGAATTCAGCTTTTCGAAGAGCATTTCCTAAGGATGAAGAAGAAGCCGCGATCCTGCTAATGGCACTATCTTGTGGCCTTCTTCATAGCTAATACTTATCGAGTTTTGTTTTGTTTTTGGTTTTTGAAGCTTTTTTGTATTTTTGTTTTTGTTGTTGGGGAAGTAGAGGGAGAGTTGAAGAAATTGATGAGATCTTGGAGGATGTTTGTTGCACACTAAAGATGTGTTGATTCATTTTCTAGCTAATAATCTTGATCAATCAATAAGATTAACAAAATATTTTCTTAAAGCTCTTGAATATATAGTATCTTTTTTTCTTCTTTTTTTTTTTTTTCCAGTATAATCTTATCGGGTTTTATTACTCAAAACACAGACTAGGGTTTTCCATTTCAAGCACTTCAAACAGTGATGATCTTCCTAGCTAGCTAGAAATGATTTTACATTTGTGTAATGCTTATTTTGGAATTCATAAAAGAATAATGTCAAAACATACATGAAATATAAAATATAAGGCAAATTACACCAATAATTTTGTATGTCACTTATATTAATTTAGTTCCTAACTTTTGATTTATTCAATTTTAATTTTTAATTTTATCTCATTTTGAATCTAATTGATAATATAAATTTTGACAAAAATTAGCCTCGTGTCAAAGACGTGGCTAGTTTTTAGGGATAAAGTGGATATTGCATTCCTCTATCCTTCCTTCCATCTCCTTCCCCACTCTATGTAACATAGGCCAACCACACCACCATGCACCTCCTCCGCCGCCACCCATACCACTACCATCACAGTATAACATATAAGAATTTTAGATATTAAATTTTCATGTTTGACTCAAAAGTGAAAATTTTGTTGTAACAAATATTTAAGAATCAAATCATGTCATCACGAGATTAGTCGCTATAAGGTTTTTTTGAAAAGTCCAAAAATGACTTTTAGGAATAAATTTTTAAAAATATCGCTAATAAAAAAAAATTGATGCCAAAAAATTTACTTTTTTAGATAATTTTTTATCTCAAAAGGATAATAATTCATTATTAAACGTTAAGTCCATCATTAAAAATAGAATACTGATATTTTTGACAACTAAAACATTTTATTTTTAAAAAGTAATTTTATCTCTAAAATCTTAATTGGTTACAACCACCACCGTGATGCACCTCCTCCACCACTACCACGTCGCACCTCCTCCACCTACAACCCCTCACCACCAAACAAGCACACGACCACCAAACACCAATGCGGTTCACATTTCATGTGTTTTTTCACCAATAAAATCACAAACAAGCTTTGCTTTTTAACCACCCAAAAAAAAACAAGCTTTGCTTTCTAATATACATATTCTGGTTGGAATAATATATACTTTCCATTGAATCTAACCAAGTGGTGTCAAGGCAGGCAGGCAGGCAGGCTACATGAAGCAATGTCGGCCCCATTACGTGGACACAATCTAGTTTTCATCAATCAAAGTGGTTCTTCTGTTACCCACGAATCTCTTTTTATGGAACTTAATATATAATAATAATAATAATAATACGGTCCAAATCTCACTATTGATTGCTAATTAATATTATATATTATGTCTTGGGACGCATAATTTATGATATATTAATCATGCTTTTTCAACAAAGCTGATGTTTTAGTGCTGCATATTAACCATTGTAGAAAATGATTCTAATTAAATTTTATACGGAAAAAATCTATGGTGTGTGTGACACACCGTAAAAAATATTATGTCATTTTGTGGTTTTAATCATGTCAATTTTTGTGATAAATGTTATGAATTAACAGATCTATAGTGTACAACTTCAAGTGAAAATTATAAACAATAGTGGTTATATATTATGAATGGTGTGATGATAAATATTACAAATCATTTTGATAAAAGAAATTATAATATGTTGGGGGTGTTTGTTATGGAACTTCGCGTTATCTTATGAAACATTCTCTTCTAATTTCCCTGAACTGGCCCAGCCTTAAGAATGGGCCTACAAAAAGTAATCCACAAATGTTGATTTCTAATAATAATAGCTAATTACCTTTTTACAAAGAGTTAAGTTTTTAATCAAATTATTCATATATGAAGGTTTTTTTCATTAACAATTTTAAAAGGAATTTCAGCATTATTTAAAAAATCCCAAGAAATGTGTCTCTTTAATTGTAAGAAACTGTAAAGAGGTGTGACTATAATACTTTCAAACAAAAAATTGATCTTCCCTTTTATTTATTTTTTAAAAAAGGGGTATATGGATTACTTTCTATTTGAAACTGATATGCTTCAATTGATTGGTTTCATTTTTTCACAAAATGAATAATAGTTCAATTTATATAGTATTACTTGATTATTAAACAAACAAAAAAAAATTCCAATCAAACAAACTTTCTCCCTTGAATTGTGTATTATTGACTACTTAAACCATTTGATGTTGACAAGATTATAAGCACATGCTCGAAGTTTGGTTTAGATGTTAAATATACAGTTGACTAATGCTAGTAATAAAGAGTTTCAATTAGTGCTACAATTAAAATGATGTTACATCTTTTAATTTTGTCCTTTCAATTCTATTTTTAATGACGTGGCCCACCTCATGTATTACATCAGAATAGGCCACATTATTAAAGGTGAAATTTAGAGAGATAAAATTAAAAATTGTAACACCACTCAATCTAATTAAAGCAGCCCTAAACTTGACAGCTTAAATGGTTACATTTGTCATATTATAATCACAAGGGCCCCATGTGGCTGTTGTATTATTATTATTATTAGATTTCATTTTTTTTATCTTAGATTCCAATTGGTTGTTGTGTTTGATACTTATGCAACTGGTCATATTTAATTCTTGGATGCTTTGGTCAACATGAATTTGCTCCCAATCTGTTGTGTTGTGTTTGAATCCCCAATTCTTAATTCTTGGATGCTTTGGTCAACATGAATTTGCTCCCAATCTCTTGAGTTGTGTTTGAATCCCCAATTCTTAGATTCTTAGAGAAATTTAAAGAGAAAAATTAACAATTTTTTTTTTAAAAAAAATAATTCTTTTATTTTATTTTTTATAAATTTAAAATTCAAATACAATATTATTAAAGTAAGAAAGAAAGCTATTATAACCTTCCTAGTTTAACCAATAAGGCTAGTACATCGATCAGAACCCTTATATTTTATTTGTTTGGAGTTTCTCTTTTCCAATTTTTTATTTTTTATATATTATGTATTGTACTTAATTTTTATTATGATTATAGTCCATTAAATTTCGTTATAATGTCATATATCAATAAATAAAAATAGAGAGAGAGGGGTATACGACCTTTATTGGTTTATTTATTTATTTATTTATTTATTATGTTTCTTGTGTTCGGTAAGATCCGATCCAGCCTAATATGGGGTCCAGGGAGGACCAAAGAAGCAGAACTTTGTAATTAATAAAGTTTGGTACACCAACCACAATTATTAAAAATAAGAATTACCAAAACTCTTGTTGGCATATGCTAAATTAATATAGTACATATCATTACAACATATATATATATATATACATATGTATAGAAACGTAAAAAAAAGATGATCTGTTGTGTTATCACCGCATATGTGGGTTTTACTTTCGGAATAATCAATTACTGGTCAGATTTAATTAAATATATAGGAAGAGATCTATTACTGAGACATCAATAGAACTCAGCCACATATCGAATAATTAATTATCAGTCAGAATTAATCTAATCTATAAAAAGGGATCTACTACTGAAACACCAATAAAATTCAGTTATTAACTCAACTCATAAGAAGGGACCCATCACTGAGACATAGAACTCAACTACACATCACAAAAGAACCTAAAACTCATAAGAAGGGACTCACGACACCAGCTACATGTTAGATTTAATCCAACCCATAGGAAGGAATCTACCGCCGAGATACTAATAGAATTCAGCCACACGCCACAAAATATTTAGGATTAATCGAAATATAGTACGGGATTTCAAAAAAAAATCCACTGAAAAATCTTACAGAATTCAAACCTGAATCACTTCTCCACTAAGCCATCTAGTGATATCATTACAACATATTCACTTACCATAAATTATACAATCTGTGATTAAAAACACCACTATGACAAGATGGTCAAAATTTTCAATCTCAAGATATATAAAATTATTTCTTGATACAACGACTAGGCACACACCGTTGTAACACGATGCCATCACAAATTTCAATCATATACATGATGCTATATTGTTATTCTATTTGTGCTATCAAAATAAGTTAATATATTTATCTTGGACTTCGTAAATTAACCATTGAGGAATTGGATTAGAAGAATTCGGTCCGTCAAGATATTCATTAGAAGGTTAAAAATATATGACTAGAAAAATCTCAATTATCAGTGTAAAAATGAAAAAAAAATTTAACTATTCGCTTTTTTACTTTATTATATATTATTATTTAACTTCTCTCTTTAATAACGATCCACCATTTGATTTTCTCACTAGAAATTGAACTGCTGTTTTCTTATTTCTCTAAAAAATAATTATCCATTCGTTTTTTATTATTATTATTACAACAATGATTCATCCCACTAAAAACACCACCACTAATAGTGGGATGAATCATTAGTGGTGGTGTTTTTAGTGGGATGAATCATTGTTGTAATAATAATAATAAAAAAAGAATGGATAATTATTTTTTAGAGAAATAAGAAAACAGCAGTTCAATTTCTAGTGAGAAAATCAAATGGTGGATCGTTATTAAAGAGAGAAGTTAAACAATAATATATAATAAAATAAAAAAGGGAATAGTTAAATTTTTTTCATTTTTATACTGATGATTGAGATTTTTCTAGTCATATATTTTTAACCTTCTAATGAATATCTTGACGGACCGAATTCTTCTAATCCAATTCCTCAATGGTTAATTTACGAAGTCCAAGATAAATATATTAACTTATTTTGATAGCACAAATAGAATAACAATATAGCATCATGTATATGATTGAAATTTGTGATGGCATCGTGTTACAACGGTGTGTGCCTAGTCGTTGTATCAAGAAATAATTTTATATATCTTGAGATTGAAAATTTTGACCATCTTGTCATAGTGGTGTTTTTAATCACAGATTGTATAATTTATGGTAAGTGAATATGTTGTAATGATATCACTAGATGGCTTAGTGGAGAAGTGATTCAGGTTTGAATTCTGTAAGATTTTTCAGTGGATTTTTTTTTGAAATCCCGTACTATATTTCGATTAATCCTAAATATTTTGTGGCGTGTGGCTGAATTCTATTAGTATCTCGGCGGTAGATTCCTTCCTATGGGTTGGATTAAATCTAACATGTAGCTGGTGTCGTGAGTCCCTTCTTATGAGTTTTAGGTTCTTTTGTGATGTGTAGTTGAGTTCTATGTCTCAGTGATGGGTCCCTTCTTATGAGTTGAGTTTTCCCACTTTGGCCCTTCATGTTTGCAATCCTTCCCACTTTACTCATAGACTAACTTCCATCCAAAAAACTAATAGAATCTGCCACATTACTAACACATCAGCTCCATGTGTAATGTAAAAAATTCACTAAAGATGCAAAAAATAAACAATTGAAAGCAAAAAATTGAAATTTTTTTTAGTCTTTAGTGAATTTTTTTTTCAAATTTATTCATTAACATTATTACATTATAGACGTATCTATATTAGATGCACCTAAAAAAATATAAACAAATTTAACTAAAAAAGAAAAAGTTTACTAAAGACGAAAAAAATGAAAATATACTGACTCAATTATATATATATTTGCTTTTTTTCGTCTTTAGTAATTTTTTAATGAATTTTTTTTTTAAAAATACTTTTTAGATTCGTATCGACAAGATGGATAGAAAAAAAAATGATATAATTTTGAAAAAAATTACTAAAGACAAACAAATTTGAAAAAGTAGTTTTTTTTGGGTCAAAACAGGCTTTAGTCTCATTTGAATTGTCTGAATTTGTGGTTGCTTGACAAGTCATTTGGAATATCATTAGCTCAGATGTTAGTTGACATACCAGTTGACAAGAGTGATAGCCTTAATTGACAAGGGTGATGCTAATCATCCGGACACATCATTCGAACGAAATCGAACTCCCTCTATTTCACTGAACCAAGTATTTTTCATGAAAATAATTATTCAGCATAAACTTTTATTTTAAAAATCATTTTAAATATGAAATATATACATCTAAAATTAATGGATTACGAATTACACTCAAAATAAAAATAGTATGTAAATATACTTGGAACAATTGCAATTTTTTTTAAGTTTTAACTTTATAATAAAATAAATTCTGAATTTTTAATTTTATCAATTTAAACATTAATCTTTGGGTAAATTACAAATACATCCCCTGAGGTTTACTTAAAGTACAAATTGCCTCATGTAGTTTAGAAAATTACAAATACATCATTGTTAGTATTTTTTTATTTAACAGAATTAACTAAAAAAATAAAATTCATAACTGTTCTCCTATACAATAATAAAATTACCTAAATTATTAATTGAAACATATTTATCATATCATTAAAAACTATTAATTGGCTTGATGATTTATTAATAAAATGGGTGATTTGGTATGAAATTAGAAACCTCAGGCGATGGAATGTAATTTTCAAAACTGCAGAGGGCGATTTGTATTTTAATCAAATCTCAGTGATGTATTTGTAATTTACCTTTAATTTTTTGATTTGTTTTCAATATAAAGCATTCGTTTATTTTTGTTAAGTAAAATCGATAAAAAAATATTATTTTTAGTCGTTAAATTCAATAAAATATTTAACATATGTATTTTTTTTTATCTCTTCTATTTAATGAGAATAAAAAAATAATTTAAATTAAAAATAAATTAAAATTTATTTTGTTACCATACTCAAATCTATTTTTTATTTTTTATAATTTCTTCAAAAACTTATTTACAGTCTATTCAAAAAATCACATAACTTTTTCACTTATAAAAAGTAAAAAAAAAAATTCACTCAACTATCTACGCATATCAAAATTTTAAAATTGTATAAATTAAAAAAAAATAAAAAATGGGCAAGTAGTCATTAAAAATAAATTCACAATCAACTGTTACTCAAGTGTTAATCATTTTTTCTACAACAAAAATCACAATCAAAATCAGATCCAAGTGAGTCTCATTCATTCCTTCAAACCCTAACCCTAGATTTCTCACACACATCTACATTGTACGCTCATCTCTAATTATATGCATTGTGTAACTGTATATATTTTTATTTATTTATTTCTATATACAACAATCTACAGATAAAGTTTTTCTTTTTTTTTTGAACCTTGAAGTTTGTGAGGTGAGAGCTAGCGATAACCCAAATGTGTAAGAGAATCTGCCAACAATGAAGAATCTCTCGACAACAATTCCAAAATCTTCCAATTTTTTGGATCTTATTTGGAATTAAATTTTGAAATTGAATCGAAACCCAATTTGATCCATTGAAATTCAATCCAATCTTGATTCAATGCCTTCCATACATTTATTTTCCTTTTCAATTTCATAGATTATTTCAGAGATTTGCTGCGTATACATACAAAAATGTCGTTTTTTACTCACTATAACGATTGGCTTGCAGGTCTCCAAGAGAAAGACCATGATATCCACGTAAGCTCATCCTGTCTCTTTTCACATTGGTGCGCAGTCTAGCTTAACCTACGCACTCTTCACCCTCCACCCACCCCCACCAGATCTTGAAATTGATAGATTCATAATAGTTTATTTATATATATATATACATACATGTATGAAGAAAGTATATTATTATTATCACCAACCCACCACAGCCACTAGCTAAAGCAATAACAAAAGTATACTTTTCAAATCTTGGGTCATTGTTTGGGTGGTTGGTTCATTGGGGGAATTGGGTTGGGGTGGTGGTTTTTTGAGTTCAACATTTGGGTTGAATTCAAAAAATTGTGATTTGTTTCTTTTGAAATTTTTTTGATTCATGGATCGTGCTCGGCGGCTCGCAAACCGGGCAATTCTCAGACGCCTGGTTTCTGAGTCTAAGCAGTACCGCCCAAATGAATCTCTGACGAGCTCTTCATCATCGCCGGTAATGTATTCGCCTTCGAGGTATGTTTCTTCATTGTCTGCCTATGTGTTTCATGGAAAAAGTAGTAGATCAGATTTGTTACTAGGGAGGAATGTGTTATACAATGTTGGGTCTCAGTTTCGATCAATATCGGTTGAAGCTTTGAAACCAAGTGATACTTTTCCCCGCCGCCATAACTCTGCAACCCCTGAAGAACAAACCAAAATGGCTGAGGTTTGTGGATTCAATAGTCTTGATTCGCTTATAGATGCGACGGTGCCTAAGTCGATTCGTTTAGATAAAATGAAGTTTTCTAAGTTTGATGAAGGTTTAACTGAGAGCCAAATGATTGAGCACATGAAAAATTTAGCTTCTAAGAATAAGGTTTACAAGTCTTTCATTGGGATGGGTTACTATAACACCTTTGTTCCACCTGTGATTTTGAGGAACATTATGGAAAATCCTGGTTGGTATACCCAGTACACTCCGTACCAGGCTGAGATTGCGCAGGGTCGTCTTGAGTCCCTGCTCAATTATCAGACCATGATTTCGGATCTTACTGGTCTCCCCATGTCAAATGCTTCCTTACTTGATGAAGGAACTGCTGCAGCCGAGGCAATGGCTATGTGTAATAATATTCTAAAGGGAAAGAAGAAAACTTTCATTATTGCCAGTAACTGTCACCCGCAGACAATTGATGTGTGTAAGACTAGAGCCGATGGTTTTGATCTTAAAGTAGTTGTTGCTGATCTCAAAGACCTTGATTACACATCAGGCGATGTTTGTGGGGTACTGGTACAGTATCCGGGAACAGAGGGTGAAGTTTTGGACTATGGGGAGTTCGTAAAGAATGCACATGCAAAAGGGGTTAAGGTTGTCATGGCAACTGATTTGTTGGCGTTGACAATGTTAAAGCCTCCTGGTGAATTTGGTGTAGATATTGTTGTTGGCTCGGCTCAAAGGTTTGGGGTTCCTTTGGGGTATGGTGGTCCTCATGCAGCCTTCCTTGCCACTTCCCAAGAGTACAAAAGGATGATGCCAGGAAGAATTATCGGTGTGAGTGTTGATTCTTCAGGAAAACCTGCTCTGCGCATGGCAATGCAGACGAGGGAACAACATATCCGGAGGGACAAGGCTACCAGCAACATCTGCACTGCTCAGGTAGGATATCGTTACCCATCCTTTCTATGTTATGTTTTTATTTATAGGTTCTGTAAATTGGCCCGTTCAAATTTGAACCTGGTTGAATTTATCTGGATGCTGCTTGTATGTAGAAAAAAGGGTCTGAGGATCTTCCTCTATTGAAAAGGAAAAAGTAGAGTAAAATATACATTCTGGGTGCACATCTCACTTTGGAACATCCACTCCTTTTAGGGTATTGTTTGCTTGGATTTGATTGAATGATTTTTGCCTTGTTATGTAGGCACTCCTTGCAAACATGGCTGCAATGTATGCTGTTTACCATGGTCCAGAGGGCCTTAAAACCATTGCCCAAAGGGTACATGGTCTTGCAGGGACATTTGCTGCTGGGCTGAAGAAACTCGGGGCAGTAGAGGTTCAGGGCCTTCCCTTCTTTGACACTGTGAAGGTTAAATGTGTTGACTCTAAGGCAATTGCAGATGATGCTTGCAAGAACCAGATGAATTTGCGGATAGTGGACCAGAATACTGTAAGTATGATTTAAAAGTGGTTAGTTTGATTGTAATTGAAGATGCTATGAGATTATTGAAGTGTCATTATCTTTCAGGTCACTGTTGCTTTTGACGAAACAACCACCTTAGAGGATGTGGACAAGCTATTTAAAAATTTTGCCTGTGGCAAGCCTGTAAGTATTGTTTATTTTGTCTCCAAACTGAATACTGGTAATAATTTAATTTTTTACCGCATCACTAAAAAACCTGTGTGTTAATTATCAGGTGACATTTACTGCTGCGTCTCTTGCACCAGAGGTTCGGAACATGATCCCTTCGGGCCTTGTAAGGCAGAGCCCGTATCTGACTCACCCAATCTTCAACTCGTATGACCATCTTTCTACTGAATTTGCCATCATCTTATAGTTTAAAACCAATCTGACTTTCATTTTTTTTTTTTCAGATACCATACGGAGCATGAGCTGCTTAGATACCTTCATAAACTACAATCAAAAGATCTTTCACTATGTCATAGCATGATTCCCCTGGGTTCGTGTACAATGAAGTTGAATGCAACAACAGAGATGATGCCTGTGACATGGCCTGGCTTTAGTGATATGCACCCTTTTGCGCCTAGTGAGCAGGCTGAAGGGTATCAGGTAATGGAAATGCTTTTTTCTTTTTCTTTTCCTTCTTTTCTACTTTGAATTTCCAACTGTAATTTTCATGTATAAATAAGCAAAAACCAGCATTACAATACATAACTATGGCATTCTGTTTATCAGGAGATGTTCAAAGATTTAGGTGAACTATTGTGTACTATCACTGGATTTGACTCATTCTCTTTGCAACCCAATGCTGGTGCTGCTGGGGAGTACGCTGGTCTCATGGTCATCCGCGCATATCATAAGGTATGATGACATAAATTGCATCGATAGACTTCTTTTTATTTCCTGGGAACAATGGATTCGAGTCATAACAGAATGCTTGTGATATTTATTTGCGACGGTCACCTCTAGGCAGACCTCCAAAAGAACACCTTGCGATTTGATGTTTTGATGCTAGAATTTTATGATACCAAGTGCTCATGCACTCATCACAATTTCATTCTCACCTGAACTTGACCTGGGTACTTTATATGCTTCTGGAAACAAATAAGATGCCCGGTCAATCATACATGTTAATAAAAAAGAGGCTATTTTTCAGGGCATTAAGGAAATTTCAACATCTTCCGAGGCTGTATGCTATATCAATGATTTTTTAAGTAGAAGTTGCTTGGATGATGTAATAAGCTTCTTGTTGAAATGACTCTGCTAATCACCAGTTAATTGACACTGTAGGCAAGAGGAGACCATCACCGCAATGTTTGCATTATACCTGTCTCTGCACATGGGACAAATCCTGCTAGTGCTGCTATGTGCGGAATGAAAATTGTTGCTGTAGGAACTGATGCCAAGGGAAACATCAACATTGAAGAGTTAAGGAAGGCAGCTGAAGCAAATAGGGCAAATCTATCTGCCCTTATGGTATTGCAGTTCACATTGGGGAACAGTAATTTTATTTTATCACTTTTATC